TTCCTATCTTCTTTTAAGACCTTTCATTAGATATTCCAAGTCAGTTCAGAAGTAAGCGCTCTAAGAATCAAGACACTGGACCAGTTTGTTCATTACGAGGTAAAGACACTTGAACGTTCTAGATTACTCTTTTCCTTAAATAGCTGAATAGATCTGTAAGCCTTATCTATATGTGCTTTGTGGTTAGTGTCCTTAATGCATCTGTTGTAACTTAACAAAAGTCAGATGTGAATGTCTTTTCCTCTTAGTCTTTCCTTTAGGATTTTAGAAAAATCCTTTTAGTGAGAATGTCTCTCACAGGGCGATGTTTAGTGAGGCTTTGAGACATTTTTCTCTTCTGTTTAATACTGGCTTTAAAATAGAAGGTCTGTGGGACCAGCAGTTGGCGTAATGGCTATGTTGCTGGACTCCCATGTAGTTGACTGCAATTCAAGTCCTGGACCCGGTGGCTTAAACTTATACCAGTGTGTGTGCGTGCGTGCCCATGATCCTGAGAGGAGAATGGAGGAGAAGGGATTGCAGTGTGGCCATCCCCTCTGGGGGGTGATTTCTCGCTTTCTGTCTCTCTCTTTTTCTGGTGAGCGCATGTGCCCTATAGCAGAAACCTCTCCAAAATAAAAAAGATCTAAAATAGAAGGTCTGTAACAAAAACGTTTACTGACCAAGTGAGACATTGTAGTGTGGATAGCCCACTAATGTCTCTAGGAAGGAAGAACACTTGGCAAAGTTTTGTAAATTCTGCTTTTATTTATTCTCTTCTATGAGTAAGTTTGAGAAATCTATGATGATAAAACTGTTGGTTAAACCTGAGGCCCTGCTTCTAATCACAGGACTGTTAAAATTCACATTTACTTTGGGAGATTTTGAACAGTATTTGTTCCTTGATGTGTATTAGCTACTACTTTAGTCAAGGCAAAAGGCCTTATTTGACATTTTATCCCAGACTGTAAGTAGGCGGACAGATCACCGTGAAAATGACCACTTATCCTTGCTAGTCACGTAAAGAAGACACTTGGATAGACAGAAGGAAACGGACCTACTCTTTGTTCTGTAATTAAGTAACTCCACACTGAAGCTAATCATTTCAAACCTGAATGGCGTGTTCACTAAAAGTGGCTTTTTTCTTCAAGTTTTTTAGGGAGTATTGTCATGTTGTTTAGTATGTGTATTTATATATATAAGCACGTGCACACACACACACACGCACACACACACACACACACCATTTTAAAAAAACAGACGAACTGGGGCCAGCAGGTGGAGTGGTTGAGGTGCTGGACTCTCACATGGCCAACCACAGTTCAAGTCCCAGACCTGGTGGCTTGGTTTCTCATTTTCCCCCTTCTCTCTCTCTCTCTTCGTGTCTCTCTCAACTCAAATTTAAAAAAAATATAATAATTGGGGCTGGCAGATAGCATGGTGGTTAAAGGCACTGGACTCCCATACGGTGGACTGTAGTTAGAATCCCGGACTTGCCGGCTTGCTTTCTTGCTTTCTCTCTCTGTCTCTCTCACTCTGTCCCTCTCTAGTCAAAATTAAAAATAAATAAAGTTAAATAAAATATATTTTTTTAAATGTCAAAAATATTTTTAAAAAATCTGTCCAGTGTAGTAACCCATGTGTTATGTGGTTATTGAAATTTATTATTATTTTAGAGAGATTGTTGCTCTAGGGCATGTGTGCTTGCCAGAGAAACATAGAGAGACAGAAAGTGAGAAATCACCCCCCAGCGGGGATGGCCACACCATAGTCCCTTCCTCATTCTCCTCCCGGGATTTTGGGCTTGCACCCACATGCACCTGGTGGGACTCAAACTGTGGTCAACTATGTAGGAGTCCATCGACATAACCATTACACTGGTCTGAGAAAACCATCTGCTGGTCCCGGTTATTGAAATCTCAGTTAAAATGAAATAAAAGTTCAGATGCTCACTGCACTAGTCCTGTTTTTGGTGTTCAGGAACCACATCGGCTGGTGGCTGCAGTGTTAGACAGTACACGTGTTCATCCACTGTGGCGGAAAGTTCTGTTGGGCAGCACGCCTGTCCCACAGATGCGTAACCCACGTCATCATATTATCCCAGTAGAGACAGCTTTCTGTTGGGGAAGAACAGGCTTCTCCCTCCCTATCTGTTGCCAGTGTCCGTGTGTTGTGATGCCTTTGCCTGGTGAAAGAACAGCAGCCAAAGTCTTGCTTGTGGTATTCTTGTCGAGGTAGCTTCTAGAAACCCCCTGGGAGACACCTCATAGATGCTGCCGCCTGTGAGGACTGGGGGCAACTCTTTATGCAAAGGCACTGCAGCTGCTGTCAGCTCCTCCCTCTCCGCGTCCTGTCGTCTCCTCTGGGTGGGAGCAGAGAGAAAGTGAAGGAAGCCTCGTCCTTCCTCTCCCCCTCAGAAAAGATGACACAAATATAATTGTATGTGGGGCATGAGAATACATGCTAACTTACTCAGAAGACAAACATCTGACCATTTACTATGGAAATAGATTTCTTTACTGATTAAATTATTAAGGAAATTAAATAGCTGCAAACTATTATATCAACATTGGATTAGGACTGTTACATAAATTCTTCAGTAGGAGTAGTCATATTGACAGTGATTAAAAAACTTCTCAATGTGAGACCAACAGATGGCATAGTGGTTACGTCACTGGACTCCCACATGGCTGACTATGGTTTGAGTCCCTGACCCGGTGCCTTCGAAACTTGCCAGGCACATGTGCGTGTGTGCCCAAAATCCTGAGAGGAGAATGAAGGAGAAGGGATTGTGGCATGGCCATCCCTCCTGGGGGGTGATTTCTTGCTTCCTATCTGTCTGTCTTTCCAGCGAGTGCACACACCCTATACCAAAAATCTCTCTAAAAAGAAAAGAAAAAATTTTCAATGTAAAATGTATGTATATGTGATCTGTACTTTCTGATGCTTAGCAAATATGGTTAGCCCAGCTGACCCTCAGAACTAGATCGTTTCAGTGTCTTTCCTTCCTTCATCTGAGTTGTCTCCTATTCCAAGCCAGTTACCTACGTGGTTCTTGCTGCCTTTCACAGCATGTCAGTTTTCACCTATCCCGGGGGGGGGGGTTTCTTAGTGAGCACAGTTTCTTTTCTTGGACTAGCCGGGACCAGAGCGTGTGACACAGAGCAGCTGGTTGATGGCAGCCACTGCAGGAGCGCACGTGGCATTTGCTCTGTGGCCCAGGTAGATTTTTCCCAGGCCAGACTTGAGGTCTCATGTGACTGCTGATAGCCTCAGGAGGCCCAAGCCATCCTTTCTGTATTCCCAGCTGACTTTCCTTTGGATTATCAGACTTGATTTTGATTTTGTTAAAGAGCTCACTGTTGGCTTAGCGAGGCAGGTGGTAGGACCTGGTAATGCCTCCTTTTTTTTGTTTGTTTACCACTCTTCTCAGTTCAGATCACTTCTCTCAGACATGGGGAGTATGGTTGAACTTTAACTGATTGATACATGTTTATTAGCTGGAGGGGGAGACACGTGAGTACCTTGTATGTCTTCTAACTCCTTGGCGTCTGTTTGGCAAGAACTACTTGGGTGCTTCTTGGGTCTGTAGTTTTTAAGCTTAATTTTCATTTAAAAGGAAGGTGAGAAGGACCCTTGAGATTAGAAGTTATTTAGCTAAATGAATATATATTGTGAAAGGCTAAATTAGCCCCAGTTCTAAAACTTGATGAATATACCATCAAAAAGGACTTACAGGGGCCAGCAGATGGTGTGGTGGACTCCCACATGGCTGACCATAGTTCAAGTCCTGGACCCAGCAGTTTGAAAATCACCCTGGGCACATCTGTGGACATGTCCAAAATCCCAGGAGAATGGAGAAGGGATTGTGCGTGGCCATACCCTCTTGGGGGTAATTTCTCTTTTGACCTATCACTGTCTCTTTCTGGAAATCACACATGCCCTGTGGCAAAAACCTTTAAAAAAAAAAAAAGGAAATAAAAATACAACTTTATCTCACTTATATATCAGAGAGTTCTAAATACAATATTAATAAATAGAACCTAGTAGTGTGCTAAAATAGTAATACAGAGATCAGGTAGGAGTTAGATCAGTAATTTAGGCTGATTTACCATTAGAAAATATATGTAATATAGGAAAACAAATCAAAATGCCCAAATAGGTTTTGATAAAATCCCAAATTCATTACAGATTAAAAGAGGTAAAAATGTCATTGAACTAGGAATGGCGATGATGTTGACTTGCTGAGCCATATGTTACCAGCATCAGACGGCGATCAGCATAGCTATGGTGAGCTCTAAGGATTTCCCTTTAAAGTCAGGAATAAGCCAGGAGCCTTATTACTGGTGAGCTCCCTGACTCCTCTTCTGGAGGAAGAAAGAAATAGACAAGGAAAAGGAAGAACTCTGGGCAAGAGACCTGCTTTTCTAGAATCTCTCATTTTTAAAAATGCACATGCAGATATTACTTGGTAAATAAGTTCTAAAAATGGAACTAAAAAGCTTAATAAGGTGGCCACACAGAAAATAGGTCATTGGGAAAGTCATGAGTGTTTTTCTGGTCAAAAATGTGTCATGGGACCAGCAGTTAGCATAATGGCTATGTCACTGGACTTCCATGTGGTCGACCACGGTTCGAGTCCCAGACCCGGTGGCTTAAACTCACGTCGGGTGCATGTGCGTGCGTGCCCAAGATCCCGAGAGGAGAATGGAGGAGAAGGGATTGCGGCATGGCCATCCCCCCTGGGGGTGATTTCTCGCTTTCTGTCTCTGTCTTCCTAGCGAGTGCACGTGCCCTATAGCAAAAGAAAAAAAAGTGTCATTGACTCTCCCGATGACCCAATAAGTAGGGGAGCTGGCTCCATGGCGTGGTGGTTGAGGCAGCTAGATCCCACATGGCCAACAATGCAACTCGAGTTCAGGACCCAGCAGCTTGAGAAACATGGCAGGTCTATGTATGTCCGACAGGATGGAGAAACGGAGGAGAAGGGATTGCGTTCCCCACAGTGGGGCGGGGGCCAGTGTACTTTTTCCCTTCCCCTGTATTTCTCTGGGGTATGCCTACACATCTTCTAGAAAACAAAACAAAACAAAACAAACCAAGCAGCGTAAATATCCACC